TATGTATATATATATTATTTATATATATATATATATATATTATATACACACACACACACACACACACACACACACACACACACACACACTTACACACACACATATATATATATATATGTGTGAGTGAGTTTTGCTTCAAAAAGAATGATCGCAGATTGAGTAGTATATGACTTTACAATACACGTTTAAGTATTTTTCTACACATATGTCTTTGTATGTTTGTGCAATATTTTTGCATACGCCGTTCCTACTTGTACCGATAAGACATCGATCGCAAATGAATACTTATAAGTATTATTTTTAATCCTGCTTCGGACATGATAAGTACGAAGTTTATTTGCTAAGCCATTGAAAATGCGAGCATGTGTACATCGATAATCGTTCGAAAATATGATAGCACGTATACATATATATATGATTTAGTGAGAATCATTTATGTGTTCAGTGCCGTATGTCTGAAATCCATACATAGTACGATCAGATCTATGCGACAAGTCGGTTGAATTCTCCGGAATAGACATTATCTCTGCTATGCTATACGATGTACCGTGAAGTTCTATATAGTTGGCCACTGCTGACCTGTGCAATGAATACCCACGTACACACGTATGCCTTTCAGAAGGCATTCAATGACGGGCACAGCGATGGCGGCAAAGAAAACTGTCACTGCCCAACACACCACAGCACCTCTCACACCACGTGCACTGCCGACAAAGACTGTACTGTCTCTCAGTACCACAAACCATGCAACAAAGGGGGCACGTTAACAACGGCTTACGTCAGCCACGAAGCGAACGAAGCTGTGCCAGGTTCACCGCCCAACAGTCCCGGGTCGCCGTCCCTGCTCGCTTCGCAATACGTATACGGACGGCATGAGGTATGTATGGGGTGAAAAAATGGTGATAGCGTTGCTGTTATCGTTGTTAGCGTTATCGTTGTGTATCATTTGCTACAATATACTCACATGTATGAGACCTATAAATTACGGCAGTGAAGTTGTGTGTTTTGTGTGAGCATGATAGGCTATAGTGGACTTTGCCTTTTGATCTGTGTGCGTTCCAGTCGGCTGTGGTGCATCGGGTGTTTCAGTAGGTGTTTCGTCGCAAGACACATATGTACGCTCTATGGCTATACCTTTTCACTTAGTTGTTTTGAGTTGCCCAAGCGTTTAAATCTCAGCACCTCTCTTATAGAGTTATTTGAGCTAATTGCAGTTTTGATTTGTATCTTATCATTCTTTCGCTAATACTCGAGCCGGCGACTGATTTGTTGCTTCTCCTTCTTGAAAATTGGTCAACTTCTTGTGTTAAGCTCGGAAGTTAGCTTCCTCAGTTATTTATTTTAATTCACGATTTTCTTTAATTACTTGTTTGTCTGTTATATGGCGAAATGCGGTAATGATTATATATACATATATTCAACGTTCGTTGCAGAGCGAAACTGATGGCGACGGTGTGATCCTAGGAAGTGAGGATGAGGATTCGGCCGATGAGAGCCTTCGGAAATACCGAACTTCAGCCGGAAAATCAAAAAGAGAGGCCAATGGCAAGATACACACTGATACTGTTGGAAGTGATGCGGACGTCAAGAAGCGTGTGTCTAGCCAATCAGGGAGTGGTAGTGGTGGTGATTCTGAGCGGAGTGATACGGTACGAGTCAGAAAACGACGCGGCAGAAAGGAGCGGACTTTGGCACGTGTGAGGGTCGCCGACAGAGATACAGAGCTCTTGAATAATGATCGGTATGTGCATTGCCCAGTTGCTAATTTTGAGGCAGATATTCATTGTATAGTGAAGGTGATGCCTTCGGTGCTCACTTTTTGTTGTGTCTCGTGCCGCTATACAGTTCACGTAGCGTAGTCGCAGCATCCATCCCATACAACGCTTGCCCAGCTCAGAACTACCTTGGGTATGGTGCCCAATATGCTACACCGCCGTAGTGCGTGTTGATTGAGTCTTTGCCACTCACTTCACTTCCACAGGGACTCTGCAACAACAGTGAGGGCAGGTTGTTCTTCCACGGCAACTGGTGGTGTACCACCCGTCAGGCAAGAGGAGGAATCAAGGCGCGCTGCAGCTGAAACACTTTGTGAGGGTATTGAATCTGACGCAACAAATAATGTGTTAGAGACGGAAACGAACAACGAGTTGGCTGGCACCTCTGTACACACGCACCCATCTCCCAGCAATACTACGGGCACAGAGCAGCACGACAGCGCGCGTACAACACAGCCCGATGTCACGGGTGCGAAGTCTCGCGACAGGCATGGAAAGGCCTACACCTATGGCCACGATCGGAGCATGTTGGTGGAACTAATTCTGAAGGAGTTGGCTGAGAGAGAAGGGTTCGCTCACTTTGCTTGCAGCACCCATGGGACGTGTGTAGAAGTGCAGCTGCCGGTGCTCCGCATCGAGCGCTTGCACTACACCATGCCCTGCCAGGCCGATCAAAAGCTGTGGTGTGCAAGGGTTGGTACAAATCGTGTGAATGTTGAGTGGTAATCGAATGATGGCAGTTCAATGGGTGTCTTTGGCCGAGATGTGGTCTGTATATGCTATTAGCTTTTTCCATTTTCCGTTGGTAATCATCAATTTATTCCTCACATCTTCGCACTAATGGATTGGCTGCTGGGTCAATCACTTGGTGGGAATCTCGTTGCAAGGATGCAGTCCATACATATTTTTTCGACCGAAGTTTGGTCTGTAGATATCTTCAGCTCGTTTCATTTTCTGTTTGTGTTCACCAGCTTGATATCTCACATCTTCGTTTGTACCACTTTTATAAACTTGTCGCCGCAGAGCATACCAGCATGTGAGGAGACGGCGTGGGCGGCTAAAGGGGCGAACGTGGATGATCCTCTAAGCACGATCGAACACACCGCTATGGCGCCATACAAGAAAGAAGACTTAGCGAGAGAATATACGGAAACGGTGGCGCAAAGTGGAGTGGATATGGTTGATGATGATAGGAAAGGTTTACATCCCCAGGTGACAACGACCACTTTGACATGCACAACCAGTGCAACAGCTGAAAAGGATGGGTCGCGCGAAAAGCCTGATTTGGAGGCCAAAAGTCAAAGCTCAGTTAAATCTGAAGGCCTACCTGAATCCCTAGCTGATACCCATGCTGTTCTGTCAAAGGGCAATGATTCCGACTCAAACTCCATGCCACCGGCGATGCAACTCAGTCAGATCCTACGGGTTAAGCAGCAATCGCCTGAACCTACTACAGCACGCGCCGGCAAAGGCTGCGAAAATGTCGCGCGTACCGAACATCGGCAAGGCCGTGAGAGTCCACTTTTGAACGCAGCGAAAGTGACCATCCAAGACCATCAAGAACGGGTGGCGGAAGAAAATGGACCAGTACATGCGAGCGAAGGGGAGTGTGGGGCTGTAGGTAGACGGAGTGGGAGCAGGAGCTGCACTAAGAAAACACCCATGCGGCCTGGCCCAAGTATGCGTTGTGTGTGCAAAGCCTCTGTATGTGCATGAAAGTTGGTCTGCAATTGATTTACTTGAGACCGTGTAACCGAGTGTTTCATCGAGGATAGCACGACTGAAAGGATATGCGTGGTGTGCGCAATGATTCTGTGTGTGTATGCCAGTTGTGTTGCAATACATATCTCACAGACCATGTAACCGAGTTACCGAGTTTTTCATCGGGTATGCCAAGACTCTTAGAAAGATCCTCCTTTTCCCATTCTAGGTCGCTGTGCTGCATAGTATACATACATACATACGTATTCACCGTATGGTCACCCTAACAATTCTATACTTTACAGTGAGAGGGGTGAAACAACGATCCACAACCGCAGTGATTGACTTGGAGTTGCAGACACCCCGCTCGCAAAGGTTGAAACGACGGCGTATGGCTGACCGTGGGCGAGCGCGTTCGTACACTCCAACGCCAGTGCTCGGTCTAGTAGCACCTGGTGAAGCAGTATGTGCCTATGTATGAGAGGATGTTACAGGGTGGTGTGGATGTAGCATAAATATGAAGGAGTTCTGTGCAGCCAAAGTGTGTGTTGTGTCTGTCAAAACACTTGGGCAAGCGTAGGTTAGTCCGCTACCGCTGTGATTGGTGTAGCTGTCTGACGAGTTGTTCGACTACAGTTGTATCATTACAATCTGTTAGAATGTTCAACGATAGGCTATACAATGTACGGTTCACGTGTATGTATATATACATGTATACCAATGCAAATTGCTTGTCCATGGGTCACTTATTCTGCTGGTTCACCGCAATGTAGCGTACCAGATTGTCGAAGTTGATATCGGCTCATGATTATTCCTTTCCTTGCTGTTGCAGCGAATTTGCCTATCCAGTAGTATTCGGCATAGGGCGTTCGATTCGTACACATGTCAGAGCGTCCATGCTAGGATAAAGATTAACTTAATGTAGGAGATTATTCAATCTAAGAGACGGTGTTTCCTATATTGCATGCTATATTAGACCATTATAATTTCAGAGAGGGCAAGAAAACAGAATTGATATTGAGCCTATGCTGAGTATGAGTATTGATACAGGTATCGCAATATCGGGATCTCATCTCGCTTACCCTGCTCCCATATGCACCTGCACACTGCAGCTGAAACAGGAATCGGCTGTCACCTTCCTGTCCGCCAAGAAGGCAACCAGGGCACGAGGCTCTTCAGCACAGAACACGCACACCCCTCAGCGACAAAGACATCCACAGCAACCAGCCACTGGCCAAGACCTGTCGGTTATCGAGGACATTGAGTCCTACCCAAACACGGACACCGGCACCCCTCACCCGCGCACACTCGCACGTACGTGTACAAACTCGCCAGAGCTCGCACGCGTACATTTGGGGACGCAGACACGCGCACCGCCGAATGCACTCGTTGCCATGGAAGGGGATGAAATGTCGCCACAACCAGTAAGGCCGGAAAGTAGAAGGTGTGAGCACACCGTAAACACGCTCGCGCAAAGTGCGGCGATGGGGATGGAGGGATATGACAACAGCGTTGACGATGACTCTCAGTGGGATCAAGTCGGTGTGTGAGCTGTGCAATTGGTTCGTTCTGTATTGTCTAGTGCTCCATTACGCTATACTATGTTGCACTGACCGTCTTGGAATGGTGTGTCCACTCAGGCTTGGGAGCTACTAGTAGAAGACTGGTAAGAGCAGCAGAATACGCCCTGGACGCATAAGCTGTTGTGCGCATATCGGCTGTGTGTGCTTCATACTTGTTAGTCTATCGACTGTCAGATCTGTGTGGTCGTTTTAAAAAGAACAAATCCCGAAAAATGGATTTAGACCATCTGGAACGGCCGTGTTGTTAGATTGTGTTGCACTATCGTGAGCCTAGTGATATAGTAGAGACAAGCGCATTAGTTTGTATAATTGCGATGCGAGGTTTCTTTCCGCCTAAACAGCTCCCCAGGGCGAATTGGCAGTCACACACCCGTGACGATACATAACTGCAAAACACGATATACAAACTGGCAGAAAGTGGTGTTTTACCGGATCAGATAGTTCTACTCCGCCTGATGTGACCTTCACGCCATAGTTTTCTGCTAACTTTCTTACTCTCCGCATTCCTCAGCGCAATCGGTAGTCAAGCCTGTGGCCGTTGACACCACAGACTATCTGCACCTGGGCCAGGGCGCCAGTCTAAACACCCAAGCTCTGTATGACATGATTCGAGAGGAGGCTGAATCGCCCTTAAAAGAGACGGTCAATGCAGATACGGGGTATAAGTTTATTATGTATACATACTCTCATGATCCCGCACTTTACAGGAAGTAGCACGGTTTTTTCCATTTGGAGATTTATTTTTCAATAAAGGGCGTTATGTCGCACGCGTTTAACTTTATGGAAGTGGATGTCATCGCCCCTCTTGTAATGCATATGTGTGTGTTGATTTGAAGTCCTAATTTTATGAATCCCTGTGGCAGTCCAGTCGTCAATCACTTTTAAATCATCTATCGCATTGTCGTACTGTGACCTGCCAATCCGTATGTACACACAGTAGCTTATAAGTTCATACTTGCATGATCAGAATTGTGTCGAGGCTGCTTGCTATCAATCATATCATGTCGCGGACTCATGGTCTGTCTGCTTTTGACTATCATTAGCTACTAACGCACATACCTATTGATCACAATCTTATCAATGCCACGCTCAAGGCATAGGTATTCATTATTTCTCATTGTGCAATTCCTTCAGAGCCAATACCCAGGACATGAAGGAATCCGTGAAAAACAATGCCGACATGGTCCATAGTCTACCGGTGAGTCTATTGCGCTCATACCGTACAAACCCACAACTATTTTTTAATCGACCTGCATAGTGTGCGCTCTAAACACGTTTTGATTATTCTGTCGACTTCGGAATTGCATGCGTAAAATTATACTATCATGCGGCTAGATAGTATTGTTTTCCAACAAGAAACGGCTAAATATTTTTCGTTTATGGTCGTTTCTATCTTGGTCTTGTGCTGCTCACTAAATCAGATATGTGATCGTATGGCAATGGAGACTCTATGAACTATTCAGATACATGTGACATAGTAGCAGTACATTGCATACAAACTTGATCGCATCTATACCACCCCCTCATGCTGTGCGGCATGTATCGTTTCCGCCCATGGATAGCTCCATCTTGTGCAATGGAACCCCCTCTTATATGAATGTTAAACGCTACATAAAAGAACTCTGAACAAGGTCATATACCCACCTAACTTCCAAGCACATTTCTCTATAGGTCGCTGTGGCGTGTCCCTTGTGCTACAAACGGTTTTCTTCCAGGGAAATCCAGTCCCACGCCGCCAGCTGTGGTACGTTTCTCAACTGCTGTCAGCGCTGATTTAACCAGAATTTTTTTAATTTAATCTACTTCTTGAAGTACCGTGTGTAGCAGTGCGATGCAGCGCAACACTTTGGTTGGTGCCATCTTAATTATGGTTTGAATTTTCTATAATTTGGTTCACAGCGCTCGGTTTATCTAGAAATTTGAGAAACTGTGTATACTAGGCGGATTGTCTGCACATTGTCACTGCAAATTAGAAGGAGAAT